GTGTGCATATACATATGTGTGCATTTAAGAAATTTCCTACCAGGTACTCACTATATATAAAATATGGGTGCAGTTTTAATGCATTCTTCAGTTCTTAGTTTTCACATATTAATACATTTGCCTCATCATTTTAACAATTTGAGTTGCTCAGCAAATGAGTAATCTTTATATTCTCTCAGAAATTGGAAATACGGTATTTAATGTGTCACCATCATCAAAAGTTGATTGTATCACTTGCAGGATTTTTGGACTCTGTGCTATCATGCAGCTTTTTAAAAATATGTTTGGTATAATCACTTTCAGATGATGTCAGCTTCTCTTGCTAAGGTCTCCTTTATGTACTGATTACTGTTGTTATATATCCATGCTATCTGATAGACATCATCACATCACACTGTGATGATGGAAGTGTTCTGAATCTGGACTGTTCAATAAATACAGTAGCCACTAGCCACATGTGCCTGTTGAGCACTGGAAATGTGGCTAGTGTGACTAGGGAACTGAATTTAAAATTTTATTCAAACAATTAAGGCGCCACATGTGACTAGTGGCTGCCATATTGGACAGCATAGTTATAAAACGTTACTCTAATAGGATGTGCTAAGTGTTTTATTCAAATTATTTTATGCTGTTATTCATTTAAATTAGTTTGGAATAAAGTATTCAACGGAGGAATAAGAGTTAGCTGAGTTGTTCCAAGTTCATTATTCATTATTATAATTTGAAATACATTTTTCTTTGACTTCCATAAGAATAAAAATATGCAGATTGCTATTTCTGAATTGAAAAGAGGATATGTTTAGGTGAGTGTGCCATGCCAGTTATTTGGAGTATTTTTGTGTGCTGATAAGATATTGAAAGTCAAAGCGGAAGGTGAAAGTGAGCCTCTCCAGTGTTTTCTTCCATCTTTCAAGAGAAAGGGGAAATACTGTTTGAACCAAACCTTGCTATTGTTTTAAAGTTTTCATATTATTGAAAATAGTCATGGTAATGTTTTGGTTTTGCTTTTTTTTTTTTTTTTGCATGATCATAGCTCACCTTGAATTACTGGGCTCAAGCTATCCTCCTACCATAGCTTCCACAAGTAGCTGGGACTATAGGTGCCTGCCACCACAGTGCTGCTAATTTTTTTGTTTGTTTGTTTTGTTTTGTTTGTTTTGTTTTGAGACGGAGTCTTGCTCTGTCACCCAGGCTGGAGTGCAGTGGTACAACCTCAGGTCACTGCAACCTCTGCCTCCCGGGTTCAAGTGATTCTCCTGCCTCAACCTTCTGAGTAGCTGGGACTATAGGCATGCACGCCCGGCTAATTTTTGTATTGTTAGTAGAGTCAGGGTTTCACCATGTTGGCCAGGCTGGTCTCAAACTCCTGACCTCATGATCCTCCCGCCTCGGCCTCCCGGAATTATAGGCATAAGCCACTGCGCCCGGCCTGTGCTGCTAATTAAAAAAAATTTTTGTAGAAACTCTCACTATGTTTCCCAGACTGGTCTTGAACTCTCAGCCTCAAGGAATCCTCCCTCCTCAGCCTCTGGAAGCACTGGGACTCGCCTGTTTTTGCATTTTTAAAGTTTGGATGAAAATGCTTTGTGACATCAAACTTTTTTGTGAACTGCAGATTAATTGGTTAACTAGAATTATGTTATCAGTTGAGGTCTGTAGTAAGTTGAGTGTCATTTAATTGGTAAAATTGTCAGTTAGTTTTTATACAAAAATAAAAAGCATGGGACCAAGAAGCATGGGTTTTGGGAGTTGAAGGTTGCATTGAGCTGAGATTGTGCAACTACACTCCAGCCTGGGCGACAGAGTGAAATTCTGTCTCAAAAAAAAGAAGCATAGGTTTGATTGCAGAACATTACAATTCTGCTTTTATTTTAAGTGAAATACAATATTTTTGGAATATTAATTAGCATAGTTACCACTATGCATGTAGTTTAGCAAAATATACTATATTTACTATTTTATACAGTATTATTATTGTTAACAGTTGAATATTATTCAGGCCTTTGAGAAGATATATTAAACAGTTATTTCAAACTCTTTTTTTGTTCTACTGAAGGCCTGAATCCCTTCTTAGTTTCTCATTCTCAGCAAGTGATTTCTCCTTCCATTTCATAAAATATGAGCACTCACATTCTTGTTCTTTCGTATCAACTTGCAGTCATCATCACTGATTCCCCACCACCTCTTGCATTACAGTGGAAAAAGTTTCTTATTCTGACAAAAACAGATCTCTCCAGCTAAGATCTTATTTCCTCCCTTTTTACCTATTCTTTTTTTTTTTTTTTTTTTTTGAGACAGGGTCTCATTGTATTGCACAGGCTGGAGTGCAGTGGTGTGATCATGGCTTACTGCAGCCTTGACCTCCCAGGTTCAAGCAATCCTCCCACCTCAGCCTCTTGAGTAACTGAGACTAAAGGTGTACACCACCATGCCCAGCCAATTTTTTAAACTTTTTTGTAGGAATGGATTCTCCCTATGTTTTCTAAGCTGGTCTTGAACTCCTGGCCTCAAGTGATCCTTTTGCCTTGGCCTCCCCAAAAGTGCTGAGATTATAGGTGTGAGCCACTGCTCCTGGCCACATGGATCTTGTATATCAGTTATTTCACTTGTTTTATGTAATTTCAGCCTATCTCCATTATTTTTTTTCTTTGTGTTTTAATAAGCTCCGCTCTTCTTCATATGTAATATGTAATAGAACCCTTCTCCTTCCTTCTTCCTTTTTTCCTGATCCAGGCTTTTTGAAAGAACTGTTTATGTTCATTTTCTCTAATTCTTTCCTTCCAAGCCATGCTTTGACATGATTTTGATGCATGCTGAAGTTTGAGAATCACCACCCTACCCTATCTTTGTGGGTCAGTCCGGAAGCTCACTATTATCGCTATGAATTGGAATCACTGGTTATAGGTTTTAGAGGACTCTTAGTTTCCACTTAGACACAGAAGAATCAACTTCTGGTGGGGCAGGATGGTGTTTAAACTTAGAAATCATGACTGTAGGTGAATTAATTAAGATGAGGTTTGGCAGTGAGTGACAGAAACCCAATATAGTGGTAGCTTAAAAAGATAGTTCACTTCTCGTACAAACATGGGTAATCCAGGTTTGGTGACTACATGATTATCAGGAACGTAGGCCCCTTTACTCTCGTTGCTCTACCATTTCCAACACTCAACTGCTACTTCCTGGTTCTGTTTGGCTGCTATAGCTATAGCCATCCTTTTTACATTCTAGTCAACAGGGAGGAAAAAGAGGAGATATTTTCCCCTTTTAAAGAAACTTCCCAGCAGTTGTCCAGAACTTTTAGTCCATTTGGCCATACCCAGTTATAAGGGAGCCCAGAAAATAAGTTTTTATTTTAGGCAGCCTTGTTTGCAGATGTAGTTTCTATCACTGTAGGGAAAGGGGAGAACATATGTGGCAGGAATAACAGCCTCTGCCATGATGAGCTCTTGGGAGCTTTGAATGGCTCAATCAGTAAACAGTATTGCTTATTATAAGTAGTGCACTATGAAAGGTTAATTGTGGGAAAATGAGGGAGACTGGGGGGAGGAGAACAGAATTGCAAAAAAAAAAATTAAAAATCTCCCGCTTGGTTTTCTAAGAGATTCCATTTACTTGGGGAGATCAGACATGCATACATAAGTTACAGAGCAATGTAAGAATCAGAGGATGTAATTAGGGGGGGAATCAGACTCATGTGGGATTTATTTTTGGAGGCAGGCATCTCTAAAGGACTGGAGTTTTGAGAAAACAGAAGAGAATTGACATACTTTTGGGTAAAAGGAGTTCTTTGTAGAAGAAATTAATCACTGTATTGTACCCTTAACACTTAACAAGAGTCTTAATACTTATTTCTAATCTAGAGCTGAGGAAGGAATTATAATAAACCTATGAGAAATCTCTGTGAGTAAAATGATAAATAATATCCTTGTTAATTTATTAATTTATCTTATCTTACTTTTGACATCTATTTATAGTACTTTCAATTTCAAAATAGATAAAAGGTTTGTCTTCCAATCTGTATGTGGTAATTAGAACCATTGCAACTTATGACTTCCCAATTGAATAACTGAATGATTTTATAGAAATAGCATAGTAAATTTTGTGAATAGAGAAAAAGAAGCCAAGGAGTCATAGAAGAGAGAACAAGGGGAGTGAACGTTGAGTATTGTAAAAAACAGTGGGCTTGGCAGAGTTCACTGGTGTCTTAAAAACATTTAAAAATGAATTAGTGTGATCTAGTAATAGAGTTTTGCATTTTTTTTACTTAATATTATAATGTGTACATTTTTTCTTGTAAAAATTTTTCTACAGCACATTTTTTCTTGTGGTAAAAATTTTTCTAAAGCATGAGTTTTAAAATTGGTTGTATAGCATTCCATAGTTTGGATTTACTATAATGATTTACCCCATACCCTTATTATTAGACATTTAAATTGCTTATAACATTTTTGTAACTATGAACAAAGATAAACAATTTAAGTCTTTAAAAAGTGAATTAGTGAGCACAGAAGCTACCTGTTGGAATATAGAGTATTACTGGAGAGAACTTTGAGGTAGCAGAGATAGTATTTTGAGTTTTACTCTAAAATGAGGAAGATGATGATCCTATAGAAAATAGTGGAATGAAGCAATTAATAGCTTATAAAATTTGGACTTTAGTCATCTACTTAAGAAAATTAAGGCAATATATAGTATCGCTGGTTTACATAAACTAATACAATAACATAAATGTGGATAATTTACATTTTATTCCTTAGGTATACATACATACTTTAAGTTTCATATATTTACTGATGTCTAAATCATACTGATTTTTAAATAGTGAAATGACAATTTTTTTTTTGTTTGGAAAACAAATCCTTCACTTTCAATTGGTTCATTGTTTTCTAATAGAGTTTTGTAGTATGAAACTATTCAGTTTAGAAAAGAAATGCATACAAATTTCTGTTCAATTATGCATATGCTTTTACTGGGCTTATTGTATGTATCTTGATTTACAGGCCTTTTTGCAAATGTGTAACTTGCCTATCAAAGTAGTTTGTAGGGCAAATGCAGAATATATGTCTCCATCTGGTAAGTGTGTTTTTTTTTTCTTCTCTGTTAATATTATGGAGTGATAAAATTATAGTGATAGTCCAGTTTGTATCTACATGTTAAAATGTCTGATTTTTTTGTTTACCCTTTGAAGAATCTTTCCATGGTTTTAGAAAGTAACAATTGCAAATTTGACAATCTTGGGGTTGGCATATCTATTCATTTCAGCTGTGATCAGAGATGGTTACTGACTTGTGGAAATGGTTTTAATAGTAAGGGAATTATTTTAAATAGTAAATGTTAAGGAAATACATGATCTCAGATTTCCCTAGTCTTAATGTACATAAGACTTTCCTGTTGAGAAAACAAATTTTAGTCATAATGAATCCATTTATTATTCAACACGTCTAAATTATATTCTCCCGTAATACAGGTGGAAGAAGAGAGATTGTAGACAAATTAATTTGTCATTAGATCTTGAAGTCATCACTGAATGTTTTTGGTTTCTAGGTTTTTTTTTTAATGCTTAATTTTAACAGGTTTTGAGATGCATTAGCTTTCCTATTTTTAAAAATCAGTATTATCTTTATGTCAGTAGATTAAAGTAGTTTTAAATAAATGATTCAAAGAATTTTTAATGTAAAAATGTGCTACAAAGCTGATAAATAAATGTTATATGTAATTATGGATGATTATTGTAATTATGGTTTTGTTGGAGCAATAAGTAGAATTACTCCTTTTTGAATAAATTATTAAGGATAACTGATTGGTATAAGTGTGTAACATTGCTTTTTAGGGAAACATTTTTCATTTTGGTATGATAATTTAGGAGTGACTTGTGTTAAACTTTTTTTTTTCCACCTTAAGTTTTTAAGGGTGGCAGAAATTGTTAAAAGGTATGAAGACACCCCTTCTGTACATACTGAATATTCTTTTATATAAATACCTGGTTTTAGAGGTTTATGAATATACATTTAGAAAACACTTCCATAAAATAATTTCTAGGCTTGTAAATGTAAACATATTTTAGATTCTTGGAGGGCATTCATTGACTCATTTTGTGTTGGTTTTATACACAGATATTAGGAACTACAGAATTCTGGTGAAATAAGTTATATTGTATTCTGTGCATCCTTTTCCTCTATGTAGTCATACAAAAAGAGTTTGTATATTTATGTAAAAAGGTTAGTAATCTAATACTAAAGTTCAGATCTTTGGCAAGTGAGAAATCATATAGTTTATCCACCTGTTTCCTAAAATTACTATACTTACTGTCACTTAAGTAGATAATGTATTTTCTTTTTATTAGACTGTGTGAAAGACAGATAAATGTTTTAGAGACATACAAAAATATACATTCTTTCATAGGAGTCGCCTATAGGTAGATGAAAATGGCACTTTCTACTAAGATGTTTAAATTTTATATCTCAGACTGGTATTCTCTTTCATTTAATGATTTGAGGTGATCAGGGAAATGTTTTTTATTGTATTTGCTTCTTTGATCTTGTGGCAGATTTTTAAAGCAGAGAGCATGGAATAGTCAGAAGACCAGTTGACTTAAACTCTTATTTCCTAAAGAGGTAGGAAATCTTCAACTAATCCCTCTGTGACTTTGTCACATATTAACTATTTCCTTGAGAAATTTCACTTCTCTGAGCCTCAGTGACTTTATCTGTAATATAAGGTAGTCGGATTAGATGACATCCAATGTCCTATTTCTTGCATTCTTTGAATCTGCCAACTTGTTTGGCAACATATTCTTGCTTTCTTTAGAATAGAAATTTTAGAAGTGATTATTCTGTCTAAGACGGTAAACAAAGCCCTCACTTTTCTTATATGACCTTTGATTGGTACCAGAAAATAACTGTCTTACTGTGTTTTTGCCTAATACCTGCAATAATAAGGATATAACATTGGCTCCATTTTCATTAAGCAGGCTAGTGACAGAAAACATTATTCAATTCTAATTTGTTGTCTTTGTTTTTATATATCTCTATATTTAGAGATATATAAGATGAATACTCAGTTGACTATCCACACTTCTTTTTGCTTCAGAATTGACAGTACTCAGTGTATTTTTAAGAAAAATAAAAATACATACCCTGTTTTCCAAGAACCTGAAACTGGTCATTAAAAATGAGGAATATGCTTTGCTCTAAAAATATTATACCCCCAAATACTCTTTAGTCTAGGTACTAAATAGTTTTCATTCTCAGATCATTTGATCTCAGGGGACCTGTAATAATTCTCGTAGTATAGTAGTTACAAAGATTTTATCCCAAGTTAAGAAAACAATATGGCCTAATGCTTAACCAGATAATATTTTTTTTTTTTTTTTTTTTGCAAGATTTATAAAGCAGTAGAAGGAAGGAATGCAGAATTGGCAACAGGGAAATATCTTCTCAATACATCTATTGAGTCGTGTTCCAAAAGGCCTGCCTTCTCTTTGTAATGCATGTTGTCCTATGGATGCAGTTGAAGCTTTTGTTAGGCCTGTGTACTTCATCCATTACCCCCAGGCTGACTGAGCCAGAGAGGAGTGAATCTATTGAAAAGGAACAGGAAGAAGCCTGCTGGTAGTGTGAACTCTGTTTGAACTAGGTCTGACAGCAGGTTTCATTCTTTAGCATTTGGAGTAGACCCTTCTTGCTATTTGGAGATTATTTTGTTCTCTCATCTCTAATAATTCCATCAAGTATTAGTATTTGTTAAAGTGAAATATTTCTTTTTTAATGTGACATTTGTCTATAGAAGCTAGTTTTTATAAACATACTATTATTTTTTCCCACATGTTGGGAACATTACTCTGTATTACAACCCACCAACTAGCATGCCTTCAAAGATTGTTAATTCTTTTAATTCTTGCTATTTTGAGTCAAAGAGATTACTGTACAATTACTTGCTTAAAATGTTGATCTCAGTATCAAAGACATAAAAGATGTAAAAATATTTTTTAAATGTAGTTTACAATATAGATTGATTCACTGTACTCTCAAAAGAAAGCTTAGCTAAATTTCTTTGAAATATATTAGTGGTCATGTACCAATGTCCTGGCTTGGTTCATGTAATTTGGATAATTAGTGTTTGCTGCTGTATGGTGGTATGTTCGTGTTGGCTCTGAAAAGAGAATGTTATGTGATCTGTTATTATATCTAAGTGAGAACTCTAGAAATGAATTTACCTGTTCTTTTTTCTAAAGTTGGTTAGTAATCAGTTTAAAAACTTACAGAATTTAATATACACATCTGACAAACATTTTCAGAAGTTACAGTTTTATGAAATCCCTGTTTATAAATATCTGAGTTTTGTGTTAATTTTTCTTTAATTATCACAAACTTTAACATACTGGAAGTATTTTTATAAATACTTTTTTTTCTCTCAACAGGTAAAGTACCTTTTATTCATGTGGGAAATCAAGTAGTATCAGAACTTGGTCCAATAGTCCAATTTGTTAAAGCCAAGGTAATAAAAAGATATTAAATGTATTTGATCACAGTTACTAAGTCATTCATCATTCTTTAATGTGTCTTAACATTTACATTGATTTCAACCTAGTTTTATAAAATGCCAATGCAAACTACTGGAAAATATTTCTGAAGCGTAAGTTAGTATTTTTTCATGATATAATGGCGAAAGAGGTAGCTTTATTTTTCTTTATTAATGTCAAATTTATTAAAGGTATGTAATTTTAATATCTAGTCAAAAGAGATGGTTTGATCTTTACAAAATGGTAGATAATTTTCTAACTTATGCTTATGAGAACTGTGGTCAGAAATGAAAAACTATTAGGTTTTGAAGTGTCTGGCTGACCTTTGAAAAGGGAGATACAGGAGATGTTCGAAGTTGAATGTATTTATCCATTTGAATGATGCTGCTTTTCATTTATTCAGTTTAGATTTTAATAGTTATTAAGGAACAACTCCCATTAGTGTTTCTGAAAAATCATTCCAGACTTTTCTTTTTGCATATCTAGAAAAACCTAGATCATACTAGTATGTATTATTTTGCAACATACCTTTTAAAATCATAAATATGTTTGGAAATTCTTCCATATTAATAGCTGTAGATATATATCATCCTTTCACATTGGTGTATAGTATTCTACTGTATTGGATATATATATATATATATATATTTTTTTTTTTTTTTTTTCCTTTAACACGTCCCCCCCGTATTAGATAAATTAGAATTTTATTTACTCAAGTTTATTGATGGGCATTTAGATCATGGCCAATTTTTTGTTTTTATAGAGTACTAAGATAAATTTTCTTGTATGTACATCTTTGTATAAATTCCTAAGAATGGTATTGTTACCTTAGAATAAATTCCTAAGAGTGGTATTAGGATGTCATAGGTTATGTACTTTTTAAATCTTGTAATAGATTGCCAGATTGAACTAACGATTATACCATTTTATGTATCTCCTAGTTACTATAGTGTATTAGAATTTTAAAATGAGTGAAGTTTTTTTCCCCATATCTTTACTAACAGTATTTTTTTCATCTTTGACCACTTTATAAACAGCACATGTCAGTCTTTTGATATTTCCTTTATTTCTAATAAGGTTAATTAATCTCTTAAACAAGCTTTGCTGACCATTCTGTTTTCTTCTTTTGCGAAGTAGTTGATAATGTAATTTTCTCTATTGAAAGATACGTTTGTATAATGACAAATAAGTACATACTAATATTTTGTGGTGATAGCAGAGTGTTAAATATGCTTTTATATAACATAATTTTTGGGGGGCATTTTGGAAGTTTAATTCATGGTAGTTGCATGTTATATTATTTGTTAGTAAGATAACTGAAAGTTTTTGTATATTTAATATGATGGTCTTTTAAATTTTTTTAAATTCCCTTTAGGGCCATTCTCTTAGTGATGGGCTGGGTGAAGTCCAAAAAGCAGAAATGAAAGCTTACATGGAATTAGTCAACAATATGCTGTTGACTGCAGAGGTAAAATACTAGATGATATGGCTTGAAAATAAGCTTTTTCTCTCATGCTCATAAAATATAATCTTTCTAATGGGTTAAAGTTATTGAGAAATGGGAAAATAGTCAAGTAATTCTAGAGCTGAGATGGCTACCTAAATTATTTAATTATTACCTTTGAACAAGTTACCTGACATTTTCAGTTCTAGTTTTTGTGTTTATAAAAAGGGGTGATTCTTGCCTACTCATTATTTTACTTTGGCCTTTTGAAATTTACTTAAATAATATCTGTAAAACACTTTAATGGTGTTTAGACACGTATTGTGTGAATAAAAAATATTTTTATATCGTACCATCATTACATTTAATAATTCTGGATAGCAGCTAAGGAAAACAAACTCCTACGTATGTGACTTATGAAATTAGCTTATAAAAAATTGCCTTGGCAAAAAATTACTTTCTTTATCCTTTTCCTCTTTGGTATCCTAAAGTTTAGTGACTGTTCTTTTGTTCCTAGCTGTATCTTCAGTGGTGTGATGAAGCCACAGTAGGGGAGGTGAGTGGTTCTGTAACATTTATCTTAATTAAAATTTAATGAGAAAACACTTTTGCTCAGAATCGCAAGTCCCTGCTCATAAATGAAACATTGTGGTTTATACCATTAGTGATACAGTTTTTCACTTACTTTAATTTTGCTTGCACATACATTTTAGGGAAGCTGTGTGTCATTGTTTGATATAACGGGTTGCAAAGTACATAAAAGTTTATATATTTTTAAAGAGAATGGCTTAAAATTTTAATTTTTTAGATGCTCTATTTATGTTCTTTGAAAATATATTTCTTTTAGAATTCTATTTGTAAAAACGGGCATTGTTTTTAGGAAGGATCACCTTTTTTACAAAATCTTTTTGCTTTAGATCACTCATGCTAGGTATGGATCTCCTTACCCTTGGCCTCTGAATCATATTTTGGCCTATCAGAAACAGTGGGAAGTCAAGCGTAAGATGAAAGCTATTGGATGGGGAAAGAAGACTCTGGACCAGGTCAGTTCAGGTTGAAGTTGACAAAACCCTCAACTTTTGTGCATTAAAAGAATCATTCTTTATATTGGTACTCCTTTAAAAAAAAATTTTTTTTATAATATAAGATTTGCAAGAAAACCATTTGCTGTTATTTTCACTAACATGAAGTAATTTTATTTCTAAAAATTCGTACATGCTTGATGTAAAGCAAACAATACAATGCAGATATGTGTAAAAAAGCAGTGAAACTTGCCTGAAATCTCATCACCTAGAAATTGCCACCCTTAACTATTTGGAGAGCCTTCTTCTAGATGTTTCTTAGTAACATTTTCTCAAATGGGATCATTATGCCTGCTACTGTATAACCTGAGGGTTTTTTTTTTTTTTTTTTTTTTTTTTTTTTTTTTTTTTTTTTGAGCAATACATGTGGATACCTTTTATGTAACTATAGATCTGCAGCATCGGGCTTTAAAAAAAAAAAAGCCCTGTTAAACACAGTACTTAATATATCTATATTTATCTGCATCTATCTATCTATCTGTCTATATTTTTGCTACTAAAGTAGCAAAACTTAAAAATACTTAATCTTGTCCACAAGCATCATTAAGTTAATTAATGCCCGTCTTTTCCAAGGCTACCCTTAATACTAGCCAACCATCTCACTGATGTGTGCCATTGGCCACACGGGGGTTTCAGTAAATGAATAGGGATAGAATAAATAAAAATCTATCTCCACTAGTGGGAAAACAACTCAAATGCTTTTACTCATGGTGGGTCAATGGTGTTACCTTTATTAAGCAGATTTTTCAGTATATGCAAAGCCATTTGAATATATGGATTCAGGAAGACACTTTTGTTCTTGACAAAATCCTTATAAGTAACTTAAATGTACTTGTAGTTTGAAGGAAATTCACTGAAATTTTCTTCCTATTTCTTATATAGAAAGTATTATGTATGTATGTGGTCTATAGTCTTATTAAAATATATTATAAAAGGTTAACCTAAATTTATATTTTTGTTATAAACTGTGATACAAGTTATGTTTTTTATTGTTTTGCTAACTGATATACTTTTCTTTGGGGTTCATTGCCTGTGTTAGGTCTTAGAGGATGTAGACCAATGCTGTCAAGCTCTCTCTCAAAGACTGGGAACACAACCATATTTCTTCAATAAGCAGTAAGAAATTTTACTTTTTTAAAGTTAATTTTCTGTACTGTTAGGTTGCAAATTTCTTTTTTTCATAAAAGAATTGCTTTTTCAAGAAGAGATTTCGCTATTTTTATAATTTTTGTACTCAAATATTTTTGTGACACTTCTTTACTCTCAGGCACAGTGCTAGGCTCTAGGAGACTTAAGATTTCTAAAATATGGTCCTTATTAAGAATTTCTCTTAAAGGCAGTCATGTAAATCAATCATTGTATGATAAGGTTTTAATGAGGTAGTTCAAGGTGCTATATATGGAACTACAAAATCTTAACAAAATTCTAAACTTGTAAAGTACTGTTAAACATGAAGAAAAGTAAATTACTATTAATGTAACTGTAGTTTTCTATGTAGAATGATACCTGGAGGACTAGAAGAGTCAATAAAACTAAATATTAAAAAATATTGTTTGATGGACAAGCACTATTATGAACTTTTAAATGTTAATGAAAATATTTGTAAAACACAGAAATTAATATAAAGGATGTAGGTTAAATATATGTGTATGTATGTAAGTTGAATAATGTTTCATTGACAGATTTACTTTTGCAGTTTTGAAAAGACTCTAATGAAGGCAAAGAATGAATTTTTCTTTGTTAAAAAATTATAATTTTAATATATCAAAATCAGCTGTCCTGTGATCCAGTGTAAGATGGGCTTAAAGCATTTTAATCTTAAAACTTTCCCTAGAAAGTCTAACCTTTTCTTGGCATTTTAATAAAAATTATTTGATTTTTAGATTAATAATTTCTAAAAGGCTTTATTTGCTATTTGTTATATCATCATAAGCATTCCTCTTCTATAACCATATCAAACATATTTGGGTAAAGATAACATTTGTAGTAAAAATGACGATGATGATAGTTTGGAAATTTAAGTTATATTAATCTGTAACACAAGTAATATATACTATATATAATTGATATTAAAATAAAATCTAGGGTCTGTTGCTCTTTGAAGCAGAAAAGTCACAGAATTCAAACCGTGAAATTCTAGTAGGTAAAGCTTCTAGGACTCTGTTCCTATTTCTAGTGATATTTGCTATGCAGATTCTATTTTTCAGTCCCTAGCACAAGAGAAATGTATCCAAATGTCAGTATTATGTGGTTTCTTTTCTTTCTGACACAGGAATTCTTAGGAATTGAAAAGCTCAGAAGGAGTGTGTTTTATTGAAATACGTTATTCTATTTTAGTTTTGTTATGCACTCTGTGTTTAGAGGAGGCCAGGAGAATAGATCTAACTTACTTTTCTTCTCAGTTAAACTCATTGTCATTGTGTCAGTAACCAGAGGTTGGCATGTGACTCAGTGGAAACATCAAGATATTTTTCTTCATAAGGGCACAATTACATTTAATCTTGTGATGAAAACTTACAACAGTTCAAACACCAAAGGCTTGCTTTTGCGGAACTATTTAACTGATGCTATGATGTACAGTTTTGACATAATTTTCCTTTACATGATACTTAGATAAACATTTTCCCTAAAAATAAGATTAAAGATAGAAGAGATTTAATTTTTAATTTTATTCAATCATTTAATTAATATTAAAATGCAAATAAAGTACATTTAGAAAAAAGTAACTGGTATTTCACTTTCTGTGCCAACATTTTTCTCATTCCTTTATCTGTAGCAGGAGTCATTACTTTGTGAGATACTATGCTGAATAGAGCTGTGGCTTAAGTCAGGATACATAGTATTATACTGCAAGACAGAGGGTCTGAATTCTATTCTTGGCTCTGACATATCTCTGAGTTACTCTAATTTCTCTAGGTATACTCCAGTCCTAAAATTAGAATTAACCCCCTACAATTAGAATTAATCCCCTAAAATTAGAATTAACTTTCCTTCTAGCTCAACCACTGGGGATGTTGGGAGGACTCATGAAAGAAACCAAATACCTGTACTTGATGACAGAAAAGGAAAAGGGTAGTTAAGAGAGATCTTACAGAAAGAATAGTAATTGGGAAAAGAGGCCAAAAAGCAAGGGGCTTGATTTACAAAACTTGAGTGACAGCCCTAAAGATAAGTGATTGGGATGTAAAGAAAAGATATGTAGATCATTTCTAGTACTTTAAAGAGATGAAAAATTAATAATGGGAAAGAACAATTAGGAAACACCCAGACAAAATTAATGCTTTTGAAACTAGATGGTACTTTGAAGGTATCAGAAATAAATGTGAAATAATGAATAAGCAAAGCAAAAAAGATGAGTGCCAGAAAAATCTTAAATGGAAAATGTTAGGAAAATGTTGAATTTTACTGTTTTTATTTTGATATTCAAATGGCAAAACAGTAGATAACTAACATGAATGTGGAAAGAATAATAATATAAGAAGGCATCAGATTTCTTAGGACCTTAGAAATATATTTGTTACCCTGGAATATTTTTCTAATAAAAAGTCTATAAAGATAAATCCAATAATATACGAAACATCTTAGAGCTCACAGGTGGGGAATTGCTATCTGTATTTGAATTATAATCACAAACTATTTGGTAAGCAGAATGGTGGAAAGTTAACGTTTTCACATAATATAGCAAGATAATTAAAATTGGAGATATATGAAGATCTTGACTTGATTAAACAGTTCAGTAGAAATACTGGATAAAATATTTTTTTGTTCTTGTCTTCCATGTGAGTTGGAAATATTTTTCTGAATTTGTTACTTCTCTTTTTATTAAGTAAGTCATGTTTATTGATGTGTAATTTACATCTAGTAAAATTGGCACTTTTATGTGTGTAGTTCTATGAATTTTAACAAAGGCATACAGTTGTATAACTGTCACCTATCAACTAAAATATTAATTGTACTTTTTAAAAAGAAAGACTTCTTGGAATCAGTAATTTATATATGTCAGAGTCAGTATAAAGAGTTGCTCAAATTCGGAAAAGTTACAAAAAATATGCTTTAAAGGTTAAATGTTTGTGGATATATACAGTTATGCCCTGTATGGCAACCTTTCAGTATGTGATGGACCAAATATATGAGATGAAGATGGGGTCCACCTTAAGATTAGTGGAATAATAGATCATTCTACCTTTTACTAAAAAAAAAAAATACCCTCCTTTTCACTATTCATTAATCGTATAACCTTGTCCTATGTTGTAACGATATTGTTTAATAATATATCCATACAAGCTATGTTTAGATATGTTTAAATACACAAGTATTTGTGTACCATAAATACACGTTATCACTGTGTTACAGTTGCCTGCAGTATTCAGTATGGAAATGTTCTGTACAGGTTTGTAGCCTAGGAGCAATAGGCTGTACCATATAGTGTAGGTGTATAGCACCATCTAGGTTTGTGTGAGTAGACTCTGATGTTCACACAGCAAGAAAATTGCCAAACAGTGCATTTCTCAGAATGTATTCCTGTTAAGTAACACACAATTATATGTGCTTTGGTTTAATCTATTGAGTTATACTTTTGTTGATATTCTTTGTTTTTTTTTTTTTATTATACTTTAAGTTCTAGCGTACATGTGCACAACGTGCAGGTTTGTTACATATGTATACATGTGCCATGTTGGTGTGCTGCACCCATCAACTCGTCATTTACATTAGGTATATCTCCTAATGCTATCTCTCCCCCCTACCCCCTCCCCACAATAGGACCCGGTGTGTGATGTTCCCCTTCCTGTGTCCAGGTGATCTCATTGTTCATTTCCCACCTATGAATGAGAACATATGGTATTTGGTTTTCTGTTCTTGCAATAGTTTGCTGAGAATGACGGTTTCCAGCTGCATCCATGTCTCCACAAAGGACATGAACTCATCCTTTTTTATGGCTGCATAGTATTCCATGGTGTGTA